GACACCAGTGACTTATATTACATATTGTAAAAAGGGGCATAATATGTCTCCTTTAAGACGTTAATGTTTTGATGTGGTTTAAACTTCAGTAGCAAAATGTTGATACATCTAACTCTCTATCAGGGTGACGTGGTCATCTGGATGGCAAAACATTTTGTGCGAAATGTAATACATAAAAAAGAAGCGTTAAACAAAATGTATAATATTTAAAATGTAAAAATGTATAAACTACTGTTAAAAGGTATGGGGTCAGTAAGATCAAAAGTGACAGTAAAGACATTTTAAATGTTACAAAAAATTCAAATAAATGCTATTATTTGAACTTTCTATTCAAAGAAGCTTGAAGTAAATGTATCACGCAGCAGAACTGTTTAAATAATAATAAGAAGAAATGTTTCTTGAGTGGCAAATCAGCATATCAGAATGTTTTCTGAAGGATCATGTGACACTGAAGACTGGAGAAATGATGCTGAAAATTCAGCTTTGCCAATCTACCAATCAAGGAAACGTGAAAAAGATTAACCCAGTAACTTTGTTTTGGTAAGCCTTTTTCTGCAAGCGCCTGAGAAAACGAGCGCGTCTGATTTCGCTCCCTTGGTGACGTGGCAAAGGGATCTCGTTATAATATTACCGCCCCTTAATCTGTAAGTTTCCACCCACGGGCCGTCATTTGATTTGGCAAGCGACAACAACGGTGTACCAGCTCTAATGCCATGTGGACAGTTTGTGCAAAACTGTTCTGTCTTTGGCTGCACAGACGAGCACAGAACACTATTTAGAGTCCCAGCCTCAGAGGAGACAAGAGAGCAGTGCATTTATTGATTTATGTATATTGCTGCTGCCACACATATCTAAACATGCCATTTATTTCCCAGCTGTTTAGCTTCACAGACATAACCAGCTGTTTTCGTAACTCATGTGTGTTTTCAACGTAAACTTGTGTGTGAAAGAGAACTTAGTTTAGTACTCACATGCTGTGACAGCCGCTTTCTGTCCGTGTGCTTCAGATGTGTGCACTCAGAAAACCAGTATTTTCAGCTGAAACTTCACAGACACATTCTGGGGACACCAGTGACTTATATTACATATTGTAAAAAGGGGCATAATATGTCTCCTTTAAAATCATATATACATGTGTAATTATAGAACAGTTAAATGGTGGTTCCCCTTGGCTCAGTGAGAGGCACATTTTAAAATGAGACATGACTCAAGGTCTTAGGCAGTATGACATCCCAGCCCCAAACCAGACAGCTGCCACATGGTGTGACAGAACCCTGCTTCCAGCTAACTATGTGATCCCAAAATCACATGCCCTTGTGTCCACTCTATTTGTCATATTCCATTATTGTTAATTCATCAATCAATCACGTAGAGGCATCGGATGTCTGTTCTCTACGGAGCATGAATATTACAGATGGAAGGGATAGGCTGACTAAACCTCTCCAGCATCCTCCCTCCCTCCCTCTCTCTCCTCATAATTCCACGCCCTAGCGGATACACAGACACCAGCAGACGCAGTTTGGGTAATCTCAGCAGACACCTGGTCCTCCTCTCTTTCTACCAGCCAGTGGATACAGCCACTCTGTGCACTACGGTAAGTCTTTTATCATTTGTATCAATAGCCATCCTCCTTCCTCTGCATGTGCTTGTGAGTTTTAACATGATTTATGTGACGACTGGAGATGGTAAATTGGCTATATGTGCAGCAGCCAAAGTGAAGAGAGATAGAGGGATATAGAAAAATGGATGGCTATTTCTCCTGCGAGGTAGACACTGCAGTCTAGTCTAGAAAAAAGACTGCCTGCATGCTTAAATGGAATGAAGCAATGTGGAAAGAACAAAGACATAGACATAACAAAGCAAGGGTATCCGGTGAAAGTAAAGAGGGAAATGTGCTGATTAGGATGCACAGAGAGTTGGCTAGGTGGGCGGATAGCATCGGAACATAATATGTGCATGCTGGAACATGTGTGCTACATGCTACCATCACACACACATGTACTGAGAGAATGGAACCATTTCTTCCCTTAGCATCTGACTGACTTTTCACAAAAGCATAGCATTCTTGAAATATAGCATTCTGATGGTTTAACATTTGAAATAATTGTAATATCTAGCTGTATTTTAATCAAAAACATTTTAAGACCTTGCTGTGAAATTGCTAAAATAATGAGTGAAGAAACCGCATGCAAGATTCCTTTATGAAATGCTACAAAAGACAAAAGCAAGGTCAAATGATCCTTCAGATATCATTCTAATGCACTGATCTGAGAAACATTTCTTATTATCAGTGTTGAAACATTTGTGCTGCTTAATATTTTTGTGGAAGTTTTTTTTTACAGTGCTTTAATGAATAGAAAGTCTTTACTGTCACTTTTGAGCAAATTAATAAATCCTTGCTGAATAAAAGTATTATTTCCTCAGCCAAAAATCATACTGACCCCAAACTTTTGAACGGTTGTGTAATTCATGTGTCACACACTCTTGGACACCAATGGGGGGGTAAGCTGTCACATTAAATGTGGTAAGTGGCCACAATGTAAACAGGTTTGAGAAGAATACATCACTTGAATGAAAGTTTATCACATTAATCACAAAAAACTTTCACAATCTGCCGGACTTGACCAGAAATAAAATATATATTACATATATATATGTGCTATGTGCTAGAAAGCCATGGATTTAGTGCTTGTAATAGATTACTTTAGAAATACATGATTAAGTCAGTGGTTACTTCGAACATATTCTAGTTTTCAACCTGACATAAACTTAAAAGTAGGGTGACCATATTTTAGTTCTCCAAAAAGAGGACAGTGGGTGCGGGCAGGGCGGAGGTGTTGGGGTGTGGTTGGTTGGTGGTTAAAGTAGTGCCCAAAGTATATATCCCAAATATCAAAACTCAAAATATGCCATTTCCATACCTAAAATACATATTTTACAGTCACTGTTATGCATACTGATCATAAACACAGCTAAAACGCTTCCTACCAGTGGCCCTCCTTACTTAACAGCACAGTTTTATCATAGGTAGAATGCAAAATGTTTCAATACAAGCATTTCAGTCAAATTTAATATATGCAACATTTCAAAACTTTAACCCATGGGGGAAATCAACCCATGGCAACAGTTTAAAAGTAGCCCGATTCCATGGAGAAAAAAAAGCGGACTTGACAACCCTGCATCCAACAAGAGCTGCAGGAGTCAGATTTCACTGATCACGTGTTGAGATTAGAGATGGCTGACAGACCATGCTGGAGGATTTGCTGCTCAACAGATCCTGAGCTCATTGGCAAATATCTGATCATCTTTTACACAGAGCGCATGATCGCAAAATCAAAATTGAAAGTGAACAGCAAGCGCTCATTCAAAAGAGATTATACTCTGCATATTGATAGCGGCTCCCTGATGCGCAAAAATTATATGCAATATTAGAATGTTTGTGGGACACAAAAAGCGTGACTGGACACAAAAATCACAGGAGCAGGCGCTAATGGACACAAATTCAGCAGGAGCGGGATTAAGAAAACAATCCCTCGCAGGGCTCTAATTCAAAAACGCACACGATGAATTACGACTGTAGAAAGCAAAAGCCGATTCCGGACATTTTGGGCGATTTAGAAATCCCGGCCGGACACATTTTTTTAGGTCCAAAAAGAGCACATGTCCGGGAAAAAGAGGACGTATGGTCACCCTATTTAAATTCAAAATGGTGCAAATAGAAGGACAACCAAACGTGTATTTTATAAAAGTGTAAAATAAACAAGTTTGTTTTTTGGTGTGGCCAGCAGGGGCGCCACGATTAATAATAGCCCAGCGGTTCTTAATCCTGGTCCTCGGCTCAAACATCGCTGATTATCCGATACTAGGCCTACGTGCATTTTATAGGGCTATTCTTGTTTTTACAATTAACACTTGCTGATGAGGTGCTAGAGGACGCACCTAGATCTCCTTTGAATTCAATTATGGTCCAGATGTTACTGAGAAGCGCGGCTGCGTTCTGGCGTCACTGTTCTTGCCACCCATCTACCGCACTCTGAACACCACAGTGCTTCTCCGACCCTTATCGTCTTTTATGACCAACTTATCTCTCTCGAAATCTGACATAACTAAAATCAATCAAGTAAACTGATAAAGAATTACAAACACAAATAAAAAGCAAAATGTCTTTATTTGGTTTAGCCTATGTTGCTCGTGCAGACACCTAATGAACGGGTCCTTTTCGCAGAATGTATGCATATAGAAAGGTTTAAAAGGTATGTATGGCGTTAATTCCCGGACCTACGGAGTTATAGGCTATTCGAGAAACATTAAGTAAAATGTTTTCTTCTATGACGAACGTTTTAAATTCATGTATTAAAGTAGGGTGACCATATACGTGCCATTTTCCCAGGACGCGTCCTGGACAGGATTTCTATATTGCCTAAAATATCTAGGTTTTGGCTTTGTTTGCGTGTGCAGACCGATCGGTGTATGACATCAAAATAACATACAGACGGTTCCTTATGCTTTCAAAATGCTCTCGAGGTATTTTGGTGTCATACACCGATCGGTCTGCACACGCAAACAAAGCCAAAACCTAGATATTTTAGACAATATAGAAATCCTGGCCAGGACGCGTCCTGGGAAAATGGCACGTATGGTCACCCTAATTAAAGGTCACTTTTATGTTTTGGAGATTTTTCGCTTCAATGAAAGTCTGAAATTACTGAAAAAGGGAACGTTGAAATAGGTTAAATGTTTTGCGTAAAAAGTTGATAAATAATAGTTTCAACAAATAAATATTAAAATATTTATGTTTTATAAAAATACTGAAATACATTTTGGTATGTGACAAAAACTATGCAGAGGATCTTTATTTCAAGGTCATTATATAACTTTTTTTAATTACCAAATATTCGACCATTTTATGAAAAGGCGCGTTTGCAAAACAAATCCCATTTCATATAACTTGTCATATGTGTTTTATATTTCCTTCCTTAATCACAAAACAAGGCGAAAAGCCTTAACAGCGTAGGCTAATGAACTGCACCTGAGCCTCTGAGTGACTAGTCAAAATGGATAATCTGTGCAACAAGGTGAGCCATGTTCCCTGATTTCAGTCTGACTTGGGGAGCAAAAGCTGTGGTGATGATCTTCTAGCCATTTTTAACCCTTACTTCGTGATTATTCCTTTATTGCACATATATGTTAGTTACATGAATTAAAGCGTGCAAGTAAGCGATGCGTCGTTGCCTTCAGTTTGTTAGCCCATAAAACCATTCGGAGATATCTGCGACAGAACGTTTATGGTACGACGGTCCCATTTAGGTTAGGTCTGCTTGTACCAGATCATTGTTTAATACGGGTTTGTTTTGTCACAAGTAGGTGTGGGAATTTGGGTTTCAGGCACCATGTAGACTTGATGATGCCGATGTCCAATTAGTGGGGATTATCCTCACTTGCGCGTCCCTCCATTGTCTTCCAGCCAGCAGCATTGGTTAAACCATTATCCGACCATCAAATAAATGCTGTTTTGAAAAGGGATTGTGAGTGTCTACCGATTTGATTCGAAGATGTCAATACTTGGTTTCAACAATTAATCTTCCACGAGCAACAATTTCTAAAAATCACATCTCCATATAGCGTATTAATTAATCGCAAAAGTCATCGAAAGTAAAATGATGAAATATAATCGTTCTCATGATTGTCCTTTTGTTTACATTTTTCAGCTCTTGACCCCTTGGTGACAAATAATAACTTAGTGCGAATTGGCTTATTTGACACATGATTGATAAGAACTAAGTTATGAAAACGTGTTGCCCTATTATTAAAAACTATGATTTATGTCTCCTATTAAAAAAAAAAAAGAATAAGAAAAAATGAACTTTTTTAAGCATATGATGTGTACCTTTTTTGATAAACCAGTGAAATGACATACAGTATATGGGCAACTTAAAAATGAAAAATGTATACATTATGGTACAAATGGGTCAAATGATGGAATAAATCGTATGGATTGATATATACATATTTGCAGACTAGTATTATGACATGTTGCAGTCTATACATGTATCGGACTACATTTCCAGACATTTTCACACCAGAGCTGTTCCCAGGGGATCAGCTGGTCTTCTGTTAACACCAGAGTGTCAGAGGCGCAGACGTGTTACAAGTTATTTGCATGGCCTTTAGCGAACGGAGCCGAATGATTTCATGGCTTTTTGTATACAGTGAAGAGCAGCCCCTTACATTTCAGTGTCATTTCTCGGTGAAAAACTTTCCCAAACGTGAAGAGTCAAGACTCAAATAAAGAACATTTATAAAGTCAAGAAGCTTAACCAACCCGACAAGAATTTAAAATGTTAAATGGGGTGTTACTATACAAGCTTGTGTATATTTATGTTTTTATTGTGTGTATATATAGAATAGTCTAGTATTATTTCTAAACTAATAAACCCTTAATTTAAGAAGGCAGATAAAAGGGCTATTCTGATGCAAAAATGCATGTCCAGTGGTAGGCATGTCCAACACGGAATCAACAATCAACACCTTCAATAAGTCTAATGAATGGATATTAGACGAGCAGTTTGATGGGTTTGGACAGTCCAATTTATTCAAATAGTCTTTCAAATACACAAATGGCTGCACATTAAAGTTGCAAGCATAATGTTGAACGGACAGTAACTTGAGTAACTAGATAGTCGGGTAAAATAGTTTATCAATGAACATACTGAAACAACCCTCATCATGAAAGATGGGTAAATGAAAGCTAGACTGAAGGGCTTAGGGAAAAGTGTTAATGCTTTGAAGTGCAGTTAAGGCCACACAATTCCAGTGACCTCCTCGACGTCTTTTCACAGCGAATTGTCAAAGGTTGGGAGATGCCTGTCAGTCAAAGTTGGCGACAGGTATAAATGCCTAGCTCGTTCGAGCACTCAGTCACTTGTCTTCTGTCTCTTCCTGGGTATCCATATCAGTGTTTGTGCCTTGCATCTCCACAAGAAGGGAGCATCGAAGAATCAGGGGTCGCTCACGCAGCAATGGACCCTTGCCAGCTTTTTTCATCGTTGGTGATGTCTATGTGCTGTCACATACTGTCGACAACAGCATGGTACATACATTTTTACAGAATATTTAAAATATGTTATTATATTTAAGTTGTTATGTCACTGGTATTTATTAACAAAACTTATGTTAACGTCATGCTTTTTTCTTCTCTTTTTCAAGGTCGGTGAATAACTTCCTGATGACAGGACCAAAGGTAATTTAAGTTTCTATATCTATGTGCAGCGATATTTTATTTATTTGGCATGCTATTTATTACATATATCAAAATGTCTGAACGTGCAATGTCTAATTAATGCACGTATTTTACATCTACCAGGCTTACCTTACATACACCAGCAGTGTGCAGGCAGGGGCTCAGAGTGGTATTGAAGAGTGTAAACATCAGTTCGCATGGGACAGGTGGAACTGTCCGGAAAGCGCACTGCAGTTATCTACACATAACGGCCTACGAAGTGGTAAGCACTATTATTCGTTTTAAGCAAAATCAGATTATGTATTCTGCTTTAATTTTCACTCTTAACAATGAAGGTTTTACAGCCTTACGTTGGAGAACATTTTTTAAATTCCACCAAGATGTATTTTTTATACTTTGTGCAGAAACTTATATTGTAACACCAAAAACTTGCAAATACGTACTTTTCTCATATATTACTTTGAAAATGCATTGCATTTAACATGTTCTAATAATGAACTTATTATTTATTATTATTTGTATTAGCCACCAGAGAGACCGCTTTTGTGCATGCCATAAGTGCTGCTGGAGTTATGTATACTTTGACAAAGAACTGTAGCATGGGGGACTTCGATAACTGTGGCTGTGATGACTCTAAGATAGGAAAAATGGGTAAGACATTTTTTTATTATTATTTATTATTATGAACTACACTTATCTGTAATTACAATTATTACATATCTTCAGACCAATAACTGTTTTCTTTTTTCAAAGGTGGACGTGGTTGGGTTTGGGGAGGCTGCAGTGACAATGTTGACTTTGGAGAAAGAATCGCTAAACAATTTGTGGACACGCTGGAAAATGGTCACGACTCGCGCGCTGCAGTCAACCTGCACAACAACGAAGCTGGTCGACTTGTGAGTATAACTGTATTCTCTTATTAATCTACTTTCTCTATTTAAACGAAACACGTTTTATGTCAGCACCTGAGTGCATATGGCTAATGTTAAACTTTATATATTTCAGGCTGTCAAAGCAACACTCAAAAGGACCTGTAAGTGTCATGGTGTATCTGGAAGCTGCAGTATTCAGACATGTTGGATGCAGCTGGCTGATTTCAGAGATATCGGTACCTACCTGAAAATCAAGCACGATCAAGCACAGAAGCTGGAGATGGACAAAATTCGGATGAGGGCAGGTAACAGCGCGGACAATCGCGGCGCAATCGCGGACACGTTCAGCACCGTTGCGCGCACAGAACTCCTTTATATGGAAGATTCTCCAGACTACTGCGCGAAAAACCTCAGCCTGGGACTACATGGAACAGAAGGCAGGGAATGCCTACAAAGCGGAAAGAATCTTTCTCAGTGGGAGAAGAGAAGCTGCAGGCGGCTCTGCCACGAATGTGGTCTGAAAGTTGAAGAGAGGAGGATAGGGACTGTGAGCAGCTGTAACTGTAAATTTCACTGGTGTTGCACAGTCAAATGCGAAACATGCACTCAGACTGTGAACAAGTATTTTTGCGCAAAAAGGCATAAAAACCGTCGGCCGCACAACAATTCACGCAAAAGACAGCATGCGCGTAATAGATGAAGTCATCATCTTTGCCAGTATATTAAGTTGTATATTTCCAATGTAAATGTATTTTATATGAGATTTTAAGATATGCTGCTTTTCTCTTACTGTATATTATTCTCCACATTGTTATAACGAAAAATGTCAATTCGAACCCCTATATAAGACACAAGGGCTTCCTCGTTCCCACTGTCAATTGGATTGATCACATACTGTTCAAGTTTTAAGTTTTAATTTCACGTAGACATAAGTTCATTATTTGCACTTTTTCGATCTCGACATTAGACCACAGATTTACTTACAATTATGTTGAAAGATTGTTTTGAATACTTGCACCATGTTTTTTTTCCCTTTCTCGCACAGATCGCTTGACAGTGTGTATGTTTCACAAGGGGCTTGAAGTGTTGTTATGGATCTTATTTAAGGCAATTCATTTTTAACTATCACATTGTTATTATTTTTAAACTATCACATTGTGTTTATATATATATATATTTATTAATTTATTAAATGGACTTATTTTGTCGTGGGAAGCATATTAAATATTTAAAATGAAATTACTGTCTCCGAGTGGTCAATTTCACTGCGCATGTTTGACAACTGGTTCAAATGTTTATTGGTGAATAAACGGTGTAAAATATTTCCCAATCACACTTGAATTATGCATCAGCTCCAACGACATTTAGACCCTGCCCGTGGAGAGAGAGAACGCGGTAGTGTATTGATATCCTTTGAAGTTCATTGGAGGCGTCTCCTTGACTTGGCTGGTGACTGTGGACCAATAGCATGACAAGAATCCTGTAACAAAAGGTATTCTGTCCCCCGTTGGGAGGAGTATAAAATACATGCACATCATTTTCTCGAATCAGCACATTGCCTGCTATATCACTGTGGATCTAAGATAATGGCTTATTTCTTCCTTTGGGTCTTTTTATTCTTTATTTGCGACAAAGCTCTCCCTGGGGACACATTGTAAGGATGCATTGGCGAATTATTACCAGTTGTTGTAGCCTAATGTAAACATAATTGCTCTTGTTAACATAACGCGTATTATGTTTTACCTTTTGCTTCCTCAGGACACTGAACAATTTGCTGATGACTGGACCAAAGGTAATCTATTTTCCTAGCTTCAAAAAACGACCGCCTTCGTCAAATCGTTTTACGGAAAATACACCACAACATCATCTGGTTTTGTGGTGTGTGCGAAATGTACAGAAAACCTCACATCAAAATCCTCAACACCTTTCTCTTATCTTCTTCCTATAGGCTTATCTTACCTATGCAAGTAGTGTGCAGGTCGGTGCGCAGAGCGGGATGCGTGAGTGCAAGCATCAGTTTGCTTGGGACAGGTGGAACTGCCCGGACAGCGCGCTGCAACTTTCTGCTCATAAAGGCTTTAGAAGTGGTTAGATATGTTCATAAATGTGAGCTGTTTCTCTCTAAACATTGAAAACAAAGTCTGAAAAATAAAACTCTTTATTTCTTTTCATGACTTGTCTAGCAACGAGAGAGACGTCATTTGTCCACGCAATAAGCACAGCTGGAGTTATGTACACTCTAACCAGAAACTGCAGTCTTGGAGATCTGGACGACTGCGGATGTGACAGTTCGAGGAACGGCAAACTCGGTAAGAACATTACAGATACACTCATAAGCTAATAAACTAAAGCCAATCTAATATAGACTGATATTAACAATGCAATAAAAATGAAATATTAGCTGCTTTCAAAACCGCCACGACGCATTTATCTAATGGGATGAACACTATTCATTTCAGGGGGTCGTGGTTGGCTTTGGGGAGGATGCAGCGACAACGTGGATTTTGGCGAGAGAATTTCTAAACAATACGTGGATGCGCTTGAGACTGGACAAGACTCTCGAGCTGCAGTTAATCTTCATAATAATGAAGCTGGACGTTTGGTGAGTTGAGTTGAGAAATACTTTTCATATGTCAAAGTTTTCATACTGTTCTGACAGATTAAAAACACCTGACACCTGACTAGGGATTAAATGATTCTAAAATCCAGTATTAAAAATAAACACATGGCCTATCATACGGCTCAGAGTTCTCTGGGGGCGCCACAATAACATTTGGGTTGTGCAAAACGAATCTCATTGTTAAAAAAAAAGTGATAATAACTAGTGATATGGCAAGCTGCTGTTATGGTTACCTCATCACAAAAAAACAACAGCATTTGCTTAGGAAACTAACTTTTGTGGTTTCTGAGACTTTTTGAAATTTTGAAAATGTTCTTGACACGTATATATACATATGTATAAAGAATGCATACACAAAAGATCTGTAGATTAACAATAGGCCTACTTTGTGTTTTAGGCTGTAAAGGCGACCATGAAGAGGATCTGTAGGTGCCATGGCATGTCAGAAAGTTGCACAATGCAAACGTGCTGGATGCAGCTTTCTGATTTCCGTGAAATTGGCAATTACCTGAAAGTGAAGCACGACCAGGCCCAGAAACTCGAATTGGACAAGAGACGAATGCGCGCGGGCAACAGCGCAGACAACCGCGTGGCTATGGCAGACGCGTTCGGCTCCATCGCCCGGACTGAGCTCATATATCTGGAGGATTCGCCGGATTATTGCGCGAAGAACCTGAGCCTCGGGCTTCCTGGCACGGAGGGTCGGGAGTGCGTGCAACATGGGGAAAGTCTCACTCAGTGGGAAAGGAGAAGCTGCCGCAGGCTGTGTCATGAGTGCGGTCTGCGGGTGGAGGAGAGGCGTACAGAGATAGTGAGCAGCTGCAACTGCAAGTTCCACTGGTGCTGCACAGTCAAGTGCGAGAACTGCTCTCGGGTCATTGTCAAACACGTTTGCGCCCGGAGACACGGAGGCCACGGGCACCAAAGACGCAAACCTCGAGGACCAAAATAAAACACCCCCTAACAAACTCTTTTCTAATGAGAACACATCCACCTGCACTTTTTCTTAATATTTGCTATTTCTGTACATAATTATATATTAAAGTATTTTAATAAAACTAAGAAACTGAAATTGCTTGTGGTCTCGTTTAATGTTTATGAACCTAAATACGCCCAAAACGCCCAAACAGTTGATATTTCTGTATGTTGAACAACAAACAGGCATGTCCAAATACGAAAATGCAGTTTAATTCGATTGCAAAAAATGCAACATAGGCTAAATTATGAAGAAAGAAACATAATAATATTGCAACGTGTTCAGAATGTTGTTGTGTTGTGGAAAACAATGTGTTTAATGTTAATGTTGCACTTTATTCCTTTTTGCGTTTGGAACTGTTATTGGATGGTCAAGTGTATAGGGAAAGAGGCTCCACCCCCTGGGGTGTGTAAGGGGAAACTGAGAGAAGGGGGTCTGAAGAGTGCCTCGCTGGTACAAGTGCGGTTCTCTCTCAACGCTTCAGACACGGGTCACGACGAGGCGTTCCCCATAGCGACCCCTAGAGGACGCAGTGTCTCGTTCCCTACTCAGGGAACCATGGTTACATAAGTAACCTGAGACGTTCTCTCTCAACTCGGGGTGTGTACGGCGTGGGTTGTGGCCGACAGCAGCCCAACTAAACACCCCTTTTGCATCAAAAACGCCTCGTCCTTGTCTGAGAACGCTACAATATATTTTTAGATAAACTATATGATGTGCCTTCCAGTGATGCTTGAAACATTACTGGCCATTTCTGTGAAAGAGACCAACAATCCAAAAACAATTCAAAATTAAGAACACGCTACTTAAGTGTAAAATGTAAAGTCGACTTCTCTTTTTGCTCCCTCAGATTGCTTTGCTTTCCTCAGACAGATTTCGAATTTTCAACAACCCTGTTGGGCTCATGAATATTAATCACGTTGTCTGAGTTCACTAAAAGTGATATGCTTCAAAACGACGGTGAAAGGTAAGCATTAGACTCACCTTTCACCGTTATTGTAATTATCGCACAGAATGTCGGGGACGAAATCAGTAATTAAATAAGTGATTATCAATTATGACTGTTGCTACGTTCCTATATTGCACTAAGTCATTTGAGCGTTGTATCCCAGACACGCGCCGTCAGAGAGGAAAAAATAAAACCCTTGAAAATAAATAGAGCGATACAGTATAGAGCGTTTATTTAATGAATATACTTGAAGGGATTAACTTTGTCACACTTGGCCCTAGGCGCCTCCCTTGCCTAGAGTCTGGCCCACTTTGATATGCGGGCAGTACGGACAGTATGCTGCCCCGGTGACAAAAGTGTAGACAAAGCCCGTGGGAAACACGCCACCGCTGGAAGGTGGGTGGCATGTTAATCCGCGTTACCGCTGTGTTGGTGTACATAATCACACCTGCGGAAGTCACCACCATGCATGTAAATAAATCAAAGGGAAGGATCTAAAATCCATTATTAGTCACGTTACGAGGTTGAGAACCCATTTAAATTGTAAAACCAGGCCTAGGCTACTTCGTGTGTCAACATAGAGTGATTATGTTTTACCAAATTGGATGTTATGGCCTAATCATGACATTTGTTTTCATATAATTTATCAGCAGATTTCTCACTTGGTTTGCCTATTACTTGATGCATAGTCAATTCACTCAGTGGGACATGCCATAAATCTGCCAAACTGTCTGGCCTGATGAATGATGGGATATTGGCTCCAGTGGGGGTCTTGACTTCGAGGACAGGGGGTGGGATTCTCAATTCTTCATTTGCTTCCCTTGGCTACCTCCATGTATTAAAAGAAAAATGATTTCACTTTTGATATTTAAAAAGTAGGCTACTTGACTAAATAATAGCTCACAATGCTTATATATATATATATATATAGTCATTTTGTGGTCAGAAAAAAACAATCATTTTCATTTGTAATGCGTTTACCCACTAGGTATGGCTCTTTACTAAATATAGGTCTATCATACCTGCTCGCTTACTTATTTTTAAGTTCTTCATTTGAATAAATATTTAGACATGATTAAACACTAGATATTTAAATGAGAAATTAAAAAAAAGTTAATAACTTACATCCTTTTTAATCCTTTTTTTATAATTTTTCATCCTTTGATACTTGCATAATTATTACACACAATGAATGCAAGCAAATACTGAATAAAATTTTAAGTTTAAAATGGTGCTAAATCATTTGAATAAATATTTAGACATGATTAAACACTAGATATTTAAATGAGAAATTAAAAAAAAAGTTAATAACTTACATCCTTTTTAATCCTTTTTTATAATTTTTCATCCTTTGATACTTCCATAATTATTATACACAATGAATGCAAGCAAATACTGAATTAAATTTTAAGTTTAAAATGGTGCTAAAAAGGCATTCAACTTCAACAAAATATTTGTATCCCCTTATATTTACAGTTTATACACATGAATTGATATTGATTTGAGATCGAAGCCCCAACCAAACTAACATCATATCATATACACGCATAACTGTAAAGATATTCACAGCAACCCGTCAAAATAAAAGTCCAGTTTAATTTGAAGACATTTGTACCAGAAATATATTACTATTGTTCAGTAGATTGTACATAGACTACTACTACTACTAGAATGAACAAACATTATTGTTTTAGGGTATAATCACTCAACATTTCTTCCATGTTTTAATTTTAATTGTAAATCCCCTTTGTTTGCCAAAAAAATAAAGTTGGCTTAATTTTCAATAATTTAAAGATAAATGAAATTAATGTCATATGCCTTCATTTTATAACCAGAAAAATGTAAATACACAACACAGAATTTCTGAGGAGGGAAAAACATTTCATACAGCTATTTTAATTAAGAATATTTTAAGAATACGTTTGAATAAATTACGTATGCATTGAAATAATTAGACATGCTAAAACACAGAATTTGATAACAATAAAACATATGGTATAATTTTTGTTAAACTTTTAATTAATTGATGTGAAATTGTATAAGTTTCATGATTTTAATAAACTAGACATGCTTTTTTTATTAATAAAATTTAATTTAACCATTAAAAAGGAGTCCTGAAAAATTAAAACAGAAAAAGACTGAATCCAGAAAAATTAAAACGGAAAAAAATAGAATTTGGAAAAACATAAAACGGATTTCATAGGGCCCTATAAAACTGAGACCTTCCCATCAAAACAGATTTTTGTGTGGACCAAACCATCTGTTGTTTCCTGCTTGCACACTCAAAAAAAACCTTCTTAAAACATTTTTGGTGAAAAATCTAACAGACTTTCACAGATTACTGTATAAAAAAAACTATGCTCAGACAAGCCAAATCACAATATAAAACAAATAATTTCTGTTTCTATCTTGTTTAGAATATGACTGATAAAGACCTTAAGAAGTTCCCCGCAGCACATATACCGTAAGTGTTAAGCTCAAAACCAAGAACAAAATCTGACAGAGAGAAAAAAAATGTATCAACTAAACATAATGCCAAAGGGCATGTGCCTTCTGGCTCTGCTATGTCTGATTTGGCAGATGCCTTAATCTAAAGCAACTTGCATTGCAAGGCTGGAAATTGCATTAATTAGAAGCGTACATTTCATTAGTTAATTCCCTGGGAATCAAACCCATGGCCTTGGCATTGCTGGCACCATGCTCTATACTGTTTTGGGTACAAACAGCAACTGTCCAGTACAAAAACACTAAAGAGTCTGCAGATAGAATTGTAAGTGAGTCACCTAAAATTCACCATGTTTACACAATGTATCTGTAAATTACACTTGCCTTCAAATATTGGTAAAAAAGGGGGGGGGGGGGGGGCATTCTCTTTCTCGTTACATTGTTCTATATTTATTTACTTCTGTTTTTCTATTTGGAAGATTTGTCACAAAGATCTGCAGAGATATTAATCAGAATAACAAACAAAAGAAGAATCTGTTCAATAGGTAAGATCATGCTTTAAAACGCTTCAGAATTCCACTACTGTTATTTCTGTAAGACAAAACAGAACTGTCTCTACATGCTTGAGAATTTGTCATTTTAAAACCTTTGCCTTGACTAGATCAGATCATCGGATGCCTCCAAACCAAGGTAACAAGTTACATAAACAACTGTAGTTACACTACTTAACCCATTAAGCACAAAACCTAAAATGTCTCTATATAACTTTCTTTGAAAAAATTTAGAACCTAATCCAGGAGGTTGGGATTCTGATGAATTTGTAAGTCCCCATGCTATACTTTTTTTTTAAATTTCTCTCACCACTCTTTTTAGGACTTAGTATTAAATGCAAAATGTGCATTTATATTTCTAGGACCAAGAAGGAAGTGACGACGACTATGAGGAGCCAGATAATAATAATGAGTGTGAAGACAATTACATATGCGCAGCATCATGTGATACTGAGGAAGATGTGAATATTGATGATGACTACGAAACACCTCCTACTGAAACACCTTCTGAATTACCAACTCATTTTCGTGTTGCCAAGCCTCTTGGTGATGGTGATTATTTAGGTAATTCACAATACTAATCACTAAATGTATATAAATGAAAGAATCCATGTATTTCAATTAGTGCGGTTCACTCACCCATTCTGTCGTGTGGTGGCGTGTAGACAGCGGCCCACGTGGTTCTGCAAGACCACCCCAGGACAACAGGTCAGCATCTCTTCCCAGAGGGCTTTTGAATGTAAGTAAAAATCGTTTTAGTATAAATATATCTTTATTCTTTTTACTGTAAATGCTGTCACTATAAGGTCATGCATAAGATGACTGTGTTTACTTTCAGACACCTAAGCCTCCATCCCGACCGGATCCCTCTCCACAAAGGCCTTTCATTCCCCCCAATCAATGTAAGTGAGTTCAATTTCAAATCCCTCTAAAATGAAAGCATGATCTCTGAATGTTCTGCAAATCATATCCACAGTCAAACCTGGTGTGCCAATGGTAGATCGGAGTAAGAAACCTGGCTCATCTGCTCTGTCAAAAAAAACAATTGGCAAATCAGGTACCACTCAGGTTTAATTTGAAATCTTCTTTAAACCTTTTGTATTGTATGGTCATATCACTAAATGTTTATTTTAACTTAAACAATTTCATTTTTATCCTTACAGCAATAAACCAAAACACCTTACCAATGGCTTCAAATCCAGCAACTTTACCCACACAAAGGTGCCTATCTTTATCAACTTGCATCGATTCTTATAAAGTAAAAGAGCAGTATAGTACCTACATATTTTTCAATCTCCAACACAGATTTAACATCCAGCAGAGGGATGAGTTTCCTCCTCCACAAGTAGAAGTGAATGTGATGATGGGGCAGGTGATCACAATCACATTACCTATAATAAACATGACAGCAAGCATCTCACAATCCCACAAACCATCAAGGAATTTAAAGCATGCATAGACTGGACAACCACAAGATGGCACTGTTGTTACACGTGGTCCTGTGGTTTGCTTTACAATGACGCTAAACAAAAGAAACGCAAGTCCAGTATTGCTTACACACCTTGTGCATTATTTACAATCATAGAAGCTATCAAATGTATTTCCTGCTGTAATAATGAAAGTGAACACATACTAGTCCACAGTGTAAAGGCTGAATGTTTTTATGCACTCAGGACATGGATCCACGGTGGTATGTGGGGCAAATGTCACGAGCAGAGGCCGAAGTCTCACTCAGACAAATGAATACAGTGAGTTCCACCACTAAAGTCATAGAATGTTTTAGAATGATCTAAAATACACACCTGCCTTCAAATAATTCTTATAAAATTTGCATAAAATAAGCTTTTATGAGAGAATTAATTTGTAATTTAAAGACACAATAAAAATCCAGGCCTTTCCTTTGTATATGAAGAGAAAGAAAATATAGAGCAAAAAATAGAGAGAGCAAGTGTATGAAGACATACACATACTTAGTGCTGAACATTATGTCTTTTTTAGGATGGCACTTTCTTGGTGAGAGACAGTTCAAAGGGCTGCACAGAGCAGCCATACACACTCATGGTGCTGCACCAGCTAAAAGTGTACAACATCCAGATCCGTTTCCTTGGAAACAAAAATGGATATTCCCTGGGCACTGGGCTAAATGGTGTCGAGGTAATGGCATCTGTTCATTCTGACAGAAACGTCAGTCATGAATGATATCCTGATTAACCCTGTAAAGCCTGGTGTATAAAACACTAGTCAGAAAAATCATGGAACAGTTTATCAAACCTTTAGACAAAACAAAAAAAAAGTTATTATTATTATTATTTTTTTTTTTAGTATCACAGTTGATACATCAGGCTTTTATGGCTCATATAGTATGGTACAGTAATATAGGACAATATGAAGCTTATACTTAAGGTGGGAAAAATGCCTACATTTTAATCAAAGGCCCAAACAGAGCAAAAATATGCAATTTGGTGCAGTTGCTGACATTTATATGATCAAATAGTAAGATAAAATTCTGATAGCTTGAAATGTAATACAATGAGATCTTTATAACATAAGCATAATGCTTACATAAAATTATTAGTTTATTAGTTTCATAAGCTCTGGGCAAAACATAAAATGCAAAATGATACAAAGATGATTAAGAGACATACAAATACATTTTCCTCACATGCCCAATCATCTATCTTTTAAAAAAAAATTAATAAATAAATAAATATGTACGGATAATCAAGTAAACCTAAGTTGCTTCAGTATAGTAAGTGTTCATCTTGAGATATTATCAGTATAAAAGTTACATTTATTTTATAAAATCAGTAAAGATTTCACAGGAAAAAGACATGTTTACCACAACCTGAAACAGGGTGTCTGCAGATACGAACAAGTTAAATTTAAGACATTTTAAGACCTTTTTAATACCAGCTTATGTGAAATGTAAGACCAAGACTGTGATGGATAAGCACATTATACAGTATTACATACGTTTATTTAATATTTAATGTGTTTAATGTAAAAAGAAAACAAAATATGATCGCTGTCAAAAATGCTATTTATTATTATGATACACAGTGAACTTTTCATATCAGCAGACAATTTCCCATACAAAATATCACCACAAAAGCACAGAATCACAATTTTTGGTGGTGTAACAATTTACTCAGAAGCAATATTTTCCTCAGAGTTCTATCAGCTTTTACATACTTAAATCTGCATGCTTTTAATATTTACCCCAGGCAGGGGCATGCACTCATGATTTTAGAGGGGGCACGTGGGGGCAGGGGGGGTGTCATGCTTGTCATGTGACACACAGCAGCCACGATAGCACTGCATAACTGAAATAGGTTTATGTTTTTTTTTTTTTCCCTTTTTATTCGAAATAATTCCAAACATGTTAACTATATCAGGAAATATCTTGATTCTCAAATATGTGTAAGTAAATGCGTTTTGCACCTTTATAGATTATGTTATTTGATCAATAAATGGTGATGGGCAAAGTAGACTAATAGTGTAATCTATTAGGCTAACTACACATAAAACCCAGACTTTTTAATTAAGTACCAGATATGGCTGTCAATCACAATTTTTGGTGGTGTAACAATTTACTCAGAAGCAATATTTTCCTCAGAGTTCTATCAGCTTTTACATACTTAAATCTGCATGCTTTTAATATTTACCCCAGGCAGGGGCATGCACTCATGATTTTAGAGGGGGCACGTGGGGGCAGGGGGGTGTCATGCTTGTCATGTGACACACAGCAGCCACGATAGCACTGCATAACTGACATAGGTTTATGTTTTTTTTTTTTTTCCCTTTTTATTCGAAATAATTCCAAACATGTTAACTATATCAGGAAATATCTTGATTCTCAAATATGTGTAAGTAAATGCGTTTTGCACCTTTATAGATTATGTTATTTGATCAATAAATGGTGATGGGCAAAGTAGACTAATAGTGTAATCTATTAGGCTAACTACACATAAAACCCAGACTTTTTAATTAAGTACCAGATATGGCTGTCATGCCATAAAATATTTTTAATACGACTGACTTTGTATTTAATGTGAATTTAATAACAATATTGTATGTTACTAATTATAACACTTTCAGAGAGCAAAGAACACATTATCAAAGAACATTTTCATTTAGTATAGTCAGAGTTCAGGCACTCTCAAAAACTCCCATTAAAATCACAAAAGATGTTTACACTGTGAAATGAATATCTTAACTAACATTCGTAACATTCGTAATGTGCACTGCAAGATTACAACTGCAGGGAATAATGTTATGAGATTAGTGTTTTAAATAAAATTGTGAATATACATATAAGAAATGTTGGGAAAAAATGCATACTTTTAAACATAAGACTAAACCACCAGTAGGTGGCGGTAAGTCACTTATTCCTTCAAAACGCTGAATCATTCAGTAACAAAAACACCGAGTGTTGCTTGGAGAATATGCAATACTTCTGTTCTGATCTTTGTTTGGAACTATTTTCGTTGGTGAAATAGAACAAAACAGTCAAAATGGTGTCTAAAATGTAAGTAACTTAACTTTTTTTTTTTCGTAACTAAAATCAGTGTAACATTTACAATCATGAAAATTCAGCAAAATTGCTCCCTTGTATGTTACTTAACTACGTCACGGGCAAGTAAAATTCTCGAGCCATTTTTCAGTAAACTTGCATTTACCCATTTAAAGTAGCTAGGAGGCTGGTCAACTAAGCTCAGTGTTTCCCAACCTTTTTTTAGTCGCGGCACCCTTTGGAAATTTTAACAAACTTGTGGAACCCTACAACATTAATTCTGTCACAATATTTGAATTTCTAACTTCGATATGATAATTTGAAAAGTATAGATATTCGGTACAACAGGGAAGAACTGCAGAATATAATGTCATACAGATATTTTTAATATTATTTGAAAAATTTGTCCATCAATGGTGGCAATCAGTAGGCTAATTTCTAATGAAAAGACCTATGTATATGACAGATTTTAATGTAGGCTTTTATACATATGCAAACATTATTTAATTACCATTATAACTTTCTCACAAATTTTTGCTCACGGAGTGTTTTTTTAATTTTACAGTGGGGTAATTTTGGTACAGTAGCACGAGATAGCTTGATTTCAAACTTTGAATTGAATAAAAAATGACAAGTAGGCTAAGCAGTCAGTAATAAAATAAGAACAAATAAAAAAATTAATAATCATAGCACAAATAAAAAATAACGACAGGCCTTTGAATTAAATTAATAGTTTTTCAGGTAGGTCTAACAGTAGGGTTAAGATATTTCACTTTCTTTTTTTTCTTTTTTTTCCCAATTATCCAAATAATGTTTAGTCCTAGAAAGCTATTATTATCAGAATACACGAGCATAAAACAGCAGTTAGCAGATCAATGAATGAGAGGGCAGCGTTACCAGCGTTGCCCATTTACCACACCATGTAACAACACAGTAGGGCTATTGCAGACAGAAACAATACTGTACTACATCAATGTTTCCTGTCGGCTCGATTTTTGAGTGGACTTTGCTGATCTGATTCGCATGAACGGTATACGAGTGGAGCGACTGAGCGGAGCGCACACGCCAGAGCGGGATAATACGCAGAGCGTCACACCACGTGAAAGTGAAACCTGAGCGGTGACCTAATTTTCCGCAGCCAAAATTTCGGTGCATCTCTAATTATTGGCGACTAAATAAATAATTAATTATTAATTATTTAAAACCCACTGAATCTGAATTTAAGACATTTTAAGGCCTTTTTTTTAAAAAGTAAACTTTATTTAAGATATTACAAGTCTTTTTAAGGACCCGCAGCCACACTGTTTTTAGAATAATACTTTAAGGCCTTTTACTTGTTGAAAAAGTATAAATTATCAGTCAGATGACAGAAGGCATGTAGTAGATTGTGTAAAACAGGTTTTTAGCAAACTTTTGAGCATGTTGATAATTTAGACGTCTTATAAAGTTGTGTATCAAATACACAACAGTAGGCTTTATATAGGGTTAATTAAAAGGCTTGTAGGGTTAAGATATTTCACTTTCTTTTTTTTCTTTTTTTTCCCAATTATCCAAATAATGTTTAGTCCTAGAAAGCTATTATTATCAGAATACACGAGCATAAAACAGCAGTTAGCAGATCAATGAATGAGAGGGCAGCGTTACCAGCGTTGCCCATTTACCACACCATGTAACAACACAGTAGGGCTATTGCAGACAGAAACAATACTGTACTACATCAATGTTTCCTGTCGGCTCGATTTTTGAGTGGACTTTGCTGATCTGATTCGCATGAACGGTATACGAGTGGAGCGACTGAGCGGAGCGCACACGCCAGAGCGGGATAATACGCAGAGCGTCACACCACGTGAAAGTGAAACCTGAGCGGTGACCTAATTTTCCGCAGCCGAAATTTCGGTGCATCTCTAATTATTGGCGACTAAATAAATAAATAATTATTAATTATTTAAAACCCACTGAATCTGAATTTAAGACATTTTAAGGCCTTTTTTTTAAAAGAAAACTTTATTTAAGATATTACAAGTCTTTTTAAGGACCTGCAGCCACACTGTTTTTAGAATAATACTTTAAGGCCTTTTACTTGTTGAAAAAGTAGAAATGATCAGTCAGATGACAGAAGGCATGTAGTAGATTGTGTAAAACAGGTTTTTAGCAAACTTTTGAGCATGTTGATAATTTAGACGTCTTATAAAGTTGTGTATCAAATACACAACAGTAGGCTTTATATAGGGTTAATTAAAAGGCTTTATAGGTTTAATGAAAGTGAGGATTGTGTTTTAGATGATCAGCTGTGGTGATATTTATTGGTTCAATGATATTTCCTCAATTAATCGACTGTATGTGTGTCCCAGAATTTCTCCAGTGTCGTAGACATGGTCGCACATCACATGAAGACCCCACTGATTCTGATAGACGGACTGGAGCGTGGAGCAGGACCTAATCGCCAGTGCTGCCTCATGCACCCGGCAGGTTTCTGAACCCACAAAGCAGAAGACGAATCTATGTAATGCTGACTGGATTCCAGTGTCAAACAGACTTACATGGAATTCAGACACTTTGTCTGGTGAAATGCAGCAATTATAAAGTTAGCAATCAACACCAGGATATTTAAGCACTGAAAAATGAAGTACATGACTAAATTAATAAATCATTCTCAGTTTAATTTGATCCGACAAGACTGTCTACACCTTTTAAATTGAAGATAAATGTTTAAACACTTTCAGTGTTCAAAATCAAGCATTTTAGACTCAATGTTAGCTAGAGGCAATTTTACTTATTATCAATTCTTAAAATGTACATTCTAAATTAAATATTCCTAATGTTTTTAGTGTTTGAACTTATTGTTTCCTATTCAGTTGTGAAGTTTAAGTGAAAAAGCACTTCTCTTCAGTTACGTATTTAGTCTTCCATCGTTTGTTGATGGCTTAACCACGTTAGGGTTTCCACGTCAGTCTGGAGACACGCCATTTTATCAGGGTGTGTGAAGCACACGGTCAGGTTACACTGCAGCAGCTGGATCTTCACTGAAAACAAAAGGTGTAGTGGTTGAACATACAGCAAGAAGAACACAAGAAGACACCCTCTCATTCCATTCTGACTGACTGAAACATAACCAGCACCAACAGGTTATGTTTACTGTAATCAAAGTACATAAATAGAAGCATTCTGTTATGTATTATGCAAAGGTTACTGCTAACGTACACCCAAAGGGAAAATCTATCAGCTCATTATCATTTTACAGTAATCAATCTAAAATACAGCTACAGCAGGTCTAATCCACAAGTAACTGCCGAAATATACGTACAACGATATTTAGTTCTACTTAACTGGATATGCAGGGCTCAGCAATAGATGTAGCCAACATGTTTTCTCTAACAAATCTAATGGCTATACGACATCATAAAACTCATTATTGACAGCCCTGGAGGATTTGCGGGATGTTCTGAGTGCTGATATGTTTGTGTTAGCATTGACGGCGGTCTCAGATTAATGTCTTAGCATTGACATGAAATTTGTTCATGCAATACCCATTTCAAAGCCACCAGAATAATTTCTGCCAGCACTCGGAAAAAAAGGGGAACTATTAAACTGCCAGCACATTTCAGATTTGTCAAAACATGAGTGTGCGGAGATGACTTTTCAAACGGTATATTATTATTACATTTCATGAGGTAATTTTACAATACTGTTGAAAAATCTAAGAAAATAAGGTTGGGATTAGGTCCAACAGTCACTGAATTATGCTAACAAAAAGAAGTTCTAAATTAGCAAGTTTACCTTCCAATTGGTCAATCAATTCCGACATTAAATCCAACTGCTTCAAGATATAATCCAAGCCATCTGAGGTCCCATGTTCACTATTCTCTGTGGAATTTCCCTCAGACTCCATCTGTAAGACACACAGAGGTAAGGATAATTATGTATTGCCATTTATGTGGTCTCCTTCTGTCTTAAACGGATGGCACTCACAATAAGAAAATCTAAAAATGGAACAGCATTTTAGGTAGCATGGATGCAACACATTTTACAAACCCCATGAAGCTCTGATAATTCTAATAGGTTTGACAAAAGGTTTAGTAACTTTTTCTTAACGTGTAAACACTAAATCATTAAACTCATTTGGAAGAACACTGAAATATGCATACAAAAATGATGCCATGAGCAGAACATTCAAAAGCCCCTTTTTTGCATTTTAATGGCATTAGATTAATCAGATTCACAATCAGCATGTTTGCTTAGTTGATATTTTTATTAATTTGTATGAGGGAATACAACCATGTTAATCACAAATATACAGTGGCACCAAACAACTCTGGCAGATCTAACTGTATCAGTTTTAACAACAGTAACATCATCTTATCAGATGCCTCTGTTCTACATTGAAACTTTATTTTTGGGGGATATTATGTTCTTCAGCAGCAGGATGACAATTTTTATCTTGTCCATCTGTGGGACCACAGATGACAGCTTTGCACTTGAGGAACTCATTCTCCAGGCTCTTGAAGGATTCAGCAAGATCTGGACTGGTTCGGAGCACAACCATATCATATGCCATCCAAGACAACTTCACTGAGGACAAAGAAAATGAAAATGACAGTCGATTTTTCATTCACAGCATTGTTTTATATTTAATACAGTATTTGTTTGCTATCTACCTGAAACATTCTCCATTTGTTCAGTCATCTTCTCCAAATGTTGGTTCAGTTGTAAACTCTCACGACTGGAGTCCTCACATAATCGCACACTGGAAATATCGTCAGACATCTAAAACCCAGTCAAGTCCGTGACTCCCGCTGGATTGCTGTTACTTAATTTTACATGTTAAATTAGTTATATTTTCATTAAACAAGACCGAGTTTTAAACGCACATAATCAATTATACACGTTTTTCTTTCATCCGTTTTCTGTCATTCAAATGTACCTCAGGCCAACATTGCTTTAAATTACGTTAATAAATGAATATACATGTAGTGTGTATAGAAATTCAGAACTTAATTAAATTACCTTGGTAATGTATCGAACTGAAGACGATGTTAATGTTTCGTGTTTTATTGCGACTGCTGACAGTTACTGGAGCAATGCGCGCGACGCCTAAGTTTAAACGGCTCTCGCGCGTGCACACTCAAATACCGTACACCTTGTCGAATCGTCTATAATCTCGCTTTCTTTTAAGGGATATCCGCTTTACTTACACGAATCGGTTCTTTAAAAGTGTTATTTTCAGAAAACCTATTAATAAAACGATTAATCGATTATTTTACGTCATGACGTCCTCCCTGACGTCCCGGCGTGGCCAGCTGAATAAATGAATGAACGAATGAACACATAAATAAATATAAATAAATGTTATTTAATAATACACTGTAATACAGTTTACATTTATATTAAGCACTGTCTCTTGGCTAAAATGTTATTGCATGCTTGAATTAATTACAACCACTAGCGAAATGAATTGATGGTGGTGGCTCTACACAGAACGGTTGAATGACAAGAGTGTAAACACCATTCTACTTACAAATAAAAGCTGCAGTTGAAACTTTTCCATCAATAAATTAGTGCTTGTTCCTCATAAAATATTTTGAGAAGATAAAGTTATTAAAAAGTTAGGTTTCATATATATATATATATATAAATAAATAAAACATTTATTTTCAGGAGATTTAGGTGCTTGTAACTGAAAATTCCAGTGTGTCAGGTTAAACTCTGTGAATGCCTTCAGGTGATGGTGGTGCTGCTGGTTTGTGGATGAGTGGGTGGGTGGGTGGTTGTGGGGGCTGTGTCAGGAAGAGCCTAAACACGTGGAAGGTTTCAATAAGGTGGAACTGAGGCGGTGCTACATATGCATAAATAAAACTGCTGCAACAGGTGATGATGTTGATACAGCAGAATAAAGCACAACAGCAGAGAGGACTCACGCAGGACAACTCAGACTGGAAACAACTTGGAGCGCATTAAATTATTCCTGGACGGTAAGGTAAAAAAGAAGTGCAGGTCATCAGAGAGAAAGAGAAAGACTGTCCAAGTGGAACACATCCAGATCACTCAGCAATGACATCCTATGAATCTCAAGGTCAGTCTCCGACGAGATGTGGCCCTCAGTTCCCAAGCTTGGGACAGGAACCTCCAGAATTGAGTCTGTACAGCGACAGCTACTATCCACCACCATCACTGCCGAGTCCACAGCGAGCCAATCTTTCCTCATACGAACTCGGAGACTTCGCCGCCTCATCGCCTAACCCCTACCTGTGGTTCAACAGCCCAGGGATGAACAGCACTCCTTATCTGGGTGGAACGCCAGGCCCTGCAGGACCTCCTTTTGTTCCCCAGCACTACGGCATGCAGAGGGCCTATTTGGGACCTGGGGGACCAGGTGGTCCTGGTGGCGAACTGAGCTGGTTCTCCATGCCTTCTCAAGAGGAGCTTATGAAGCTGGTCAGGCCACCTTATTCATACTCGGCTCTTATTGCGATGGCCATACATGGTGCACCAGATCGCCGCCTCACTCTAAGTCAGATTTATCAGTATGTTGCAGACAACTTCCCTTTTTATAACAAGAGCAAAGCAGGATGGCAAAACTCTATTCGTCACAACCTCTCACTAAATGACTGTTTCAAAAAGGTTCCACGAGATGAAGATGATCCAGGTGAGTGTTTGTCTCTTTGATTCTTTTTTTATTGAATCAAGTTAAAAAACTCTTTAAAAATTACTAAAATGATATAGTCTTAATAATAATAAACTATATACAAATTACATGTTATTTCATATTTAAATATTATTTATATAAGCATGAATATGTATTTATCATTTTTATTAATTTTAATAATATATTTAATTTATTATTATATTTAAATAAATATTTTTTATTTTTTATCATTTTTAATAAATAATTACTATATAATACCTAGATAATTTTTTGATCATGTAACTGTATTTAATGTGCAATTGATCTTTCATTTTAAAGGGAAGGGTAATTACTGGACCTTAGATCCAAATTGTGAAAAAATGTTTGACAACGGCAACTTCAGACGCAAGCGGAAGAGAAAGTCTGACATTCTCCCAGAGAATAGCAGTTCTGGAGGGAATCTGAGCTCTGAGTCAGGAGACAGTAATGGCAGGGGCAGTCCAAAAAATCAAGCTGTTGACATTTCCACTTCGCCTGAAAAGGGTCCTTCACCCGCATCCACGGGTCCATCACCATGCTTGAGCAACTTCCTGACTGAGATGTCTGGTGTAGCTGGTTCTCTCGACATGGAAGGAGATCCCCTGAGTCGTCCCTTTACACTCAGTCTGCTGATGGATGGAGCACAGAGAGCATCTCAACCCGCCGGGTTTTGCACTTACTCCCCCAGCTCCACGGTGTCCGAGTGGGCGTCACCTCTGCCCCCACCACCCCCCATTTCCCCATCACCCTCCCACTCCACTTTAGGCTACAGCGGGCCTGCTCTCAGTCAGTTTAATGGGCATTTCTACCCTGGTTTGAGCTCGACAGGTATTCTTTATCCTCGGGAGGGCACAGAGGTGTAGGAAGGGAAGCAGGTGACAGCCAAAACAGAAAAAACTGAATGATCAACTCACGCTACAGACACTGGGGGCAAGAAAAAAACTGTTGTTTTCCTGAAACTATACACTGCTTTTGGCCTAACTGAAATCCTTTGAGTTCTGTGGGCACAAGATACGAATGAATTCCCACAGGAATGGCCTAGTCAGCATGAGATATCACAGGCTGACTCTAGCAAAGGCCCCTGTTACCAGCAGCACTG